GAGTCAATATTTCACAAGAAAGGACTATGGGGTGAAAGACGGTAAACCTTTTACATGCCAAGAAAAGTTCAGACCCGAATCAACAGAGTATACCCAGGAAGATCTATTAATGTGCAACGATTCAATTTTCAATATAAAATACGATGAAGAATATAAAGTTCTGACAGACTTTTCAATATTCTATAAGAACAAAATGCACAATTATACTGAGTATCGAGTTCTGAGAGATGGCATAAAAATTTGTAACTCCACTGGTAATTACGTACGGAATATTTGGAAAGAACGCAATAAATGGGTAAAGGCAAAAATACATCAAAAAAGTTGCAATAAACCCATTAGGGAGTCATGGTTGTACCAAAAGTATTACACTGTGAATAAGCAGTTCACTGTCTATTTGGGACGTCGTGGTCAATATTTCACAAGAAATGACTATGGGGTGGATGACGGTAAACCTTTCACATGCCAAGAAAAGTTCAGACCCGAATCATCAGAGTATACCCTGGAAGATCTATTAATGTGCAACAATTCAATTTTCAATATAAAATACGATGATGAATACAAAGTTCTGACAGACTTTTCAATACTCTACAAGAACAAGGTGTACGATTATACTGAGTATCGAGTTCTGAATGATAGCATAAAGATTTGTAACTCCACTGATAACTGCGTAAGGAATATTTGGAAAGTACGTAATAAATGGGTAAAGGCAAAAATTCATCAAAAAAGTTGCAATAAACCCATTAGAGAGTTATGGTTGTACCGAAAGTATTACACTGTGAATAAGCAGTTCACTGTCTATTCGGCAGCTGAAGGTCAACATTTCACAAGAAATGAGTATGGGGTGAAAAACAGTAAACCTTATACATGCGATGAAAAGTTCAAACCCGACTCAACAGAGTATACCCAGGAAGATCTATTAATGTGCAACGATTCAATCATCAATATAAAATACGATGATGAATACAAAGTTGGACTGACTTTTCAATACTCTACAAGAACAAGGTGTACGATTATACCGAGTATAGAATTTTGAATGATGTCATAAACATTTGTAACTCCACTGATAACTACGTAAGGAATATTTGGAAACTACGTAATAAATGGGTAAAGGCGAAATTATATCAAAGAAGTTGAAACGACAGTATTACACTGTGAATAAGTAGTTCACTGTCTATTCGGGACGTCGTGGTCAATATTTCCGAAGAAATGACTATGGGGTGAAAGACGGTAAACCTTTTACATGCCAAGAAAAGTTCAGATCCATATCAACAGAGTATACCCAGGAAGATCTATTAATGTGCAAGGATTCAATCATCAATATAAAATACGATGATGAATTCAAAGTTCGGAGTGACTTTTCAATACTCTACAAGAACAAGGTGTACAATTATACGGAGTATCGAGTTCTGAATGATGGCATAAAGATTTGTAATTCCACTGATAACAACGTCAACGTACGAAATATTTGGAAAGCACGCAATAAATGGGTAAAGATTGCAATGCATCAAAAAAGTTGCAATAAATGTAATGGACATATACACTGAGTTCGACCGATGGGAATACGCTGTGCTCAAGGATTTTAGAGTTCGCATTTTGGCAGCAAAGCAGCTGATACAAAATACGATTATGTTCTGTTTGAAGGTAAACTTATGACATGTGTGACAGCATGCGCCAATTTTACCTTCACTATAAAGTATGAAGACGAATACAGAGTATGGAACAACTTCTCAATGATGTACCAAGGTCGAATGTACTCTTATGATGAGTACAGAATAACGTACTATGGTCTACAAGTTTGTAATTCTTCTGACCGTCTTATTAAAGAAAAATGGGGGAATTTCATTGTTTCAGAAAAAATAACAATAGCTTTCCAAGATTGTAATGTATCGGTGGACGGTTTTTACTCCGAAAATTACACATTACATACAAACTTTACTGTTCTCTTCAAACCTACCAATCAAATTTTCAGAAGGCAAAATTACGGAGTGATTATGGGGTATTTTGCAATTTGTTCAAGCAAGCTCACATTGTCCTGCAATGATGATTTGGTCAAAGTGAAGTACGGTGATCAATACAATGTTTTTAAAAACTTTTTTTCGCTGGTTTACAACAACAAGATATACGATTATCGCGAATATCGATTCAGCCACAACAGTCTCGAAAAGTGTGCTTCCAATGATTCAAGAGTTCAGGCGATTTGGAGAACGCAAAATTCGTGGCAAAAGTCATTATCCGCATCCTGTAATGGTTCTTATAAATTAAATGCAAGATACTACACTGTGACAAAGCAGTTTGCTGTGTATTCGGCAGATAACGGTCAATATTTCAAAAGAAATGACTACGCAGTGCTAGACGGTAAACTTTATGTATGCGGCAAAGAAAACTTAAGACCAATTTACGTAATTACAAACTTTAAGATTATTATAGCACCATTATGTGCTTTAGCGCTTTCTATTATTTCTTTGCTGTTGTTGTTGATAGTTTACTGCATGCTTCCAGAACTGCGCACACTTCCTGGTTTGAATTTAATAAGTTTTAGCTTCGCCTTGCTGTTGTGGCAGACTTATACCTTGTAGTATTTCTGTCACTGTATTCTCATGTAGGTAAACTGTTTGAGATACCGTGTGCTAGGCTGTTCGTAGCAAATAAGTTTATGGCGTATAGCATAATTATGAATGCTGCTGTTAATATCCATCACTTAAGGAAAACATTTTGTGGCAATACTCTAGTGAAATCTGATGAACTGAAGGAGTGGAACAGGTTTTTGAAGTATAGTTTCTTTAGCTGGGGAGTTCCCATCATTATAACGATTGTTCACATTGTACTAGTAAAGGAAGATGTTCTAAGGTTTGATCAACCTATTGCGTCTGCAGTGAAGAACGACGTTCAGTCGAGCTTAAGATTTTATCGACGCATTGCGAATGGAAATGCGACGGCAAATAATATAGGGATTTATCACCGTGTTGCATCCTTGAAGGATAATGTCCTGCAGTCAAAGTCAAGGTTAAATCAAAGTACTGACAATGTACTTGAAGATGCCCAGTCAAAGTTAAATCAAAGCATTGTACTTGGGAAGGAAGATGCGACGGAAGATGATGCAAGGATTTATCAACCTATTGTATCTTTGAAGAAAGATGTTCAGTCAAGCTTAAAGTTTTATGAACGGATTGTATTTGCGAATGGAGATGGGAAGGAAGATGATGCTAGGATTTATCAACAGATCTCTGGAGATTGTATCAATGGTCGAATTACTCCCGATTGGTCAGCTGCTGTTGATGTATATGGCCTTCAAGGCTGTCTTTTGTTGTACATTATTGGAATGTTCATCTTCACTGCTTATCGAATTCGCCAAAAACTCAAGGCAAGCAGGAACATTGCACAGAAATCAAATGTTGTTAAGCGTCGTAAATTTGTCATATTGCTCAAGTTGTCAACTACTACAGCCTTAAGTTATTGGTTTCCTCTCTTCATATCTAGAATCGTGGAATTTGATTTCGACATAAAGATAGCACTGTATACTGTAACGTTGCTTACTGGTGCCTACATTGGTATTGCGTTTGCATGCCTTCACACGAAGAAATTATCGGTCGCTCAAGAAAAAATATTTCCCAGCAAACAATAAGCCGCCAGTTAACGAAATTCCGTTGAATAGACTATAGCCAGTATGGGAGTATAGAATCTTGTATCCAATGTAAAAACGCTTATAGTACAATGCTATCAAATTAAAACGTATGCACACAATGTGTTTAAGATCGTTGTAGTATAATAAAGTAAATAAAACGCAAAACCTTGTGTGTGTTTTTCAAGTACGTTTCGTCTGGAGGATGTGATGGGCAAAAGTACCCTGACAGTCCCCAATTCACCCCTGGGAAATCTCAGCATGGAGTAATTTATATTTCTGTTATGCGGGTTAGAATCATATCCTACTCCCTCCAACGACATGAAGCATTCGGTAATTTTCGCCAGTAAAACCTGGTTTCCATATGGTCGTAACGGTCGTAAAGATTGAGTCTCGATCTTTCTCATCAGCCGAAATACAACATTCTAGAACTGAAAATACGCGGAGTGATTATAACTAGAGAATACTTATGATTTATATGTGGTTTACAGGTATAAACTATTATAAACTGATCGTTGAGAAAGATCGTGACTCCATTTTTACGACCATATGGAAACCAGGCTTAAGTTTGTTTGCACGTTAGTTGCCATGGCAACAAATATGAAACATTTCAAATTATATAATAGCCTTAAGAATTCCTGCGATTTCATTGGTCAAGAGCCATGATCTATTGGAGGACAGACGCACGGAATACGTGAGTAGTTTTTAAAATGTCGAAAGTATTTAAAAATTGCACTGAATTTATACAAATTGAATGAATTCATGCAATTAAATATATAAACATCAATAAATACGATATTTGCTGTGTTGGTTTAATGTACTCAGGTGAATAAAATGCTTGTGTGATGTTACTCTGAGTGTATATCCACACCGGGCAAGGCTTGAAAAATATGCCTGGCCACGGTGGGATTCGAACCTATGACCTTTGGAATACTAGCCCAATGCTCTGCCAACTGAGCTACGCGTTACTACTGAGTTACTGAGCTACGCGTTAGTACCGAGTTACACTCAGCTACTGAGTTACACTCAGTATACCAACTGAGCTACGCGTTACTATTAAGTTACACTCAGAGTAACATCACACAAGCATTTTATTCACCTGAGTACATTACACCAACACAGCAAATATCATGATTATTACATTACACTGATATCGAAGGAACTAGACTCAGTTCCGAAATATCCCATACTCGAACCGACCTGACCGCGTAGTTCAGTTGGCAGAGCATTGGGCTAGTATTCCAAAGGTCGTAGGTTCGAATCCCAACGTGGCCAGGCATATTTTTCAAGCCTGCCCGGTGTGGATATACACTCAGAGTAACATCACACAAACATCAATAAATACCTTAGATAAATGTGCAGAAATTACTCACAAAAGCTAGCAACTCGGCAAATCTCAATTCATTCGGATGCGACTTCGAAAAAAAATACTATTTGAGTCATTTGACCTTGTAGATGTCACGTGTTCCAGCTGGTTTCTTCACTTCGTGCAACCATAGACAATCCAGAAGACAACTGTCTTCTGGATTGTCTATGGTGCAACATACGCAATAATGTTTAAGTACTGTTTAATAAACGAGCAGGAATGTCTTATTAGGTTTAAAGCCACGAGCGCGCAGCGCGAGTGGCTTTAGACCTAATAAAACACGACCTGCGAGTTTATTAAACGGCTTCAAACACGACTACAAATTCAATAGATATATTGCCTTATTAGTATTCTTTGTATAAAGAATACTAATGAGACACGACTACAATAGATACTGCCTTATTAGTATTCTTTATATAAAGAATACTAATTAGGAGTGTTTTATCAGGTTTAAAGCCATTGCACGTGACATATTATGGTTGACATGATTTGCCAATAAGCTTATGAATTATTAATGAGTGTTTGTAGTGCTTTTCAATTACCATAGTCGCGTCAGAACAAAATAATTGCCTTTTTATCACACGTTCTTATTTCTTTAAAACAATGTTTTTTTCACTGTTTTGACAAATTTTTATTTTTTTCTTATTTATTACCGTCTATACTCAGTCTAGCACATTCTAAGCTTAGCAAATCAGAATTCAGCACGTGACTTAAGCGAGCCAATAGCATTTCGTTATTTGTGTAGATCATGAACGCATGATATTTGCAAAATTTCGACTTCCAAATGTTTGAGGGAATAAAAATAAACAGTTTGCCTGTTTCATTCGGGAATTTTTTCAATTTTATTATATAAAACAAATAGATTACATTTAACCGTTGTCTGTTCAGTTCTAGATACACAGTATGACGTCATATGTGGTAACATATGTGTTGTTCTAACCACATATGACGTCACACTGTGTATCTATAACTGAACAGACAACGGTTAAATGTAAACAATTTGTTAAATATGAACATCACGAAAATTTAAATATGCGTCGAACCGAATATCTTCTGCACAAACGAAATTTAAGAATTCCAATCAGTGTATCAATTTTCCGTCTTTATATCTGGCAAAATAGACCCAGCGGCACATAGTCAATTTGTTACTCGTTAATTGCCATGGAAACTTACAAGGTGTTGCAAAAATCAACAAAATTTGAAACAAGAACATTTCAATATATGGATAACCTATAGATTTAAATGAATGAACAACCTAACATACGATGCACAAAGTGTAGAAATACAATATCTGACAATTCCAAAGACAAAGTTCTGATATTTCGAAATATGCATCGAGTTGCCTCAAGAGCGTTTCAGGTGAGCTAACAATACTAAGTACGTTCACGACTACGTGAGCGTTATTTATACAGAATTAAGATAGTTCCACTTCTAAAGCTGTTATGTTTTTTGCTGTATAAATAACGCTCACGTAGTCATGAACGTACTTATTCGTAACCCACTCTCAACATTTCTCGTGGAAGGAAATTGGAGTATCCAGGAGAAAACCAACAACATTCGGCAGAGGGTTGACTGATTCTTTTCAAATGAATATTTCGAGAATTGAACCTACGATTTCAGAGATGGAAGACGCTTTCTCTGACAACGAAGTACAGCTGGATTCAGCTGCTATCATTATCACAAATCGCCTGATCATAAACCTTTTAACCTTCGTGTTTTGCCGAAACAGCACTCAGTTGCCTAACAACACTTGGAAGTTGCAACATGGATCGTGGCTTTAGTTTTCGACTCTTGTATCGAGTCGTTTTCTTTTCCTTCTGTCTGATTTTCGCCTGTGTTTATCATGGTGGTGGTTCAGAGAATGACAGACGAGAAGATAAAACAGAACCGAACAAATTAAAAGATGAATTCAAAGGTAAACCCTTGAATATTAACGTTTCTCTCGAACAAGACGAACGCGTCTCTAACTTGACAGAAAATGATAAACAAATTGATGGCCACACGGCGCGGCAGAAAACGGATCTTTCAAAGATGGTTAGAAAAGGTAAAATTTGAAAATGTGACAATATTAGCACTTCAGAAAGAATAATTGCTAACCATAATTTATTTTTAGGAACTGCGATGAAAACACTACGAAGTGAAAGAATACAAAAGAGCCCACTACTGCTTTTTTTAACTCCTACGCCGCCTGAGGTAAACGTTCCACGCAAAGAGTCGACAACCATCTCCCACTCAAATGAGACAGAATGGCAAAACAACCGCAGTAAAAACTTATCTTCATTGCAAAATCAAATTTTTCACCGGAATAACTTGAGAGAAACAGCGAAAAGAGAAACATTCGCTTCACTCACAACTCAACATCTCCGGAGCAGACGTGAAACTGATCCGAAATCTGAATATACCGAAGAAGATCTATTAATGTGCAACGATTCAATCACCAATATAAAATACGATGACGAATACAAAGTTCGGACTGACTTTTCAATATTCTATAAGAACAAGGTGTACGACTATACTGAGTATCGAGTTCTGAATGATAGCATAAAGATTTGTAACTCCACTGATAACTACGTACGGAGTATTTGGAAACTACGCAATGAATGGGTAAAGTTGACAATGCATGAAAAAAGTTGCAATAAACCCATTAGCGTTCTTCGGTTGTCCCCAAAGTATTACACTGTGAATAAGCAGTTCACTGTCTATTTCGAAGCTACAAGTCAATATTTCACAAGAAATGAGTATGGGGTGGACCAGGGTGAACTTTATATATGCTATGAAAAGTTCAAACCCGAATCAACAGAGTATACAAAGGAAGATCTATTAATGTGCAACGATTCAATCATCAATATAAAATACGATGATGAATACAATGTTCGGACTGACTTTTCACTACTCTATAAGAACAAGGTGTACGATTATACCGAGTATCGAGTTCTGAATGATAGTATAAAGATTTGTAACTCCACTGATAACTATGTACGGAATATTTGGAAAGTACGCAATTACTGGGTAAAGGCGACAATGCATGAAAAAAGTTGCAATAAACCCATTAGAGATATTCGGTTGTCCCGAAAGTATTACACTGTGAATAAGCAGTTCACCGTCTATTTCGAAGCTGGGAGTCAATATTTCACAAGAAATGAGTATGGAGTGGACGACGGTAAACTTTATATATGTAATGAAAAGTTCAGACTCGAATCAACAGAGTATACCGAGGAAGATCTATTAATGTGCAACGATTCAATCATCAATATAAAATACGATGATGAATACAAAGTTCGGACTGACTTTTCAATATTCTATAAAAACAAAGTGTACGATTATACTGAGTATCGAGTTCTGAATGATAGCGTAAAGATTTGTAACTCCACTGATAACTACGTATGGAATATTTGGAAAATACGCAATAAATGGTTAAAGGAACAAATCCACTATAAAAGTTGCATAATTGACTTCAGTAGAGCCACTTGGTTGTACCGAAAGTATTACACTGTGAATAAGCAGTTCACTGTGTATTTCGCAGGTACGAGTCAATATTTCACAAGAAATTACTACGGTCTGCACGACAGTAAAATGATTTATATATGCGAAGAACAGTTAAGACCCACATCATTAGAGTATACCCAGGAAGATCTATTAATGTGCAACGATTCAACCATCAATATAAAATACGATCATGAATACAAAGTTCGGACTGACTTTTCAATACTCTATAAGAACAAGGTGTACTATTATACTGAGTATCGAGTTCTGAATGATGGCATAAAGATTTGTAACTCCACTGATAACTACGTAAGGAATATTTGGAAAGTACGCAATAAATGGGTAAAGGCGAGAAAGCATCAAAAAAGTTGCAATAAACACATTGGAGAGTTTTGGTTCTACCGCAAGTATTACACTGTGAATAAGCAATTCACTGTCTACCTCGCAGCAAAAAATCAATATTTCACAAGAAATGAGTATGAAGTGGACGACGGCAAACTTATAATATGCAATGCCAAGGTCAAACCCACATCATTAGAGTATACCGAGGGAGATCTATTAATGTGCAACGATTCAATTATCAATATAAAATACGATGATGAATACAAAGTTCGGACTGACTTTTCAATACTCTATAAGAACAAGGTGTACGATTATACTGAGTATCGAGTTCTGAATGATAGTATAAAGATTTGTAACTCCACTGATAACTACGTAAGGAATATTTGGAAAGTACGCAATAAATGGGTAAAGTTGACAATATATGAAAAAAGTTGCAATAAACCCATTACATTCATGGTGTTCTACCGATGGGAATACACTTTGTTCAAAGATTTTAGAGTTCGCATTTCGGCAACAAAGAAGCTGATAACAAAGGACGATTATGCTGTGTATGAAGGTAAACTTACAAAATGTGTGACCGAATGCGCCTATCTTACCTTTACTATAAAGTATGAAGATGAATACAGATTATGGAACAACTTCTCAATGATGTACCAAGGTCGAATGTACTCTTATGATGAGTACAGAATAACGGACGATGGTCTACAAGTTTGTAATTCATCTGACCGTCTCATTAAAGAAAAATGGCGGAATTTCGTTGTTTGGGATAAGATAGGGATACTCTTCACCCAATGTAATGTATCTGTGGACGGTTTTTACTCCGAAAATTACACATTACATACAAACTTTACTGTTTTCTTCAAACCTACCAATCAAACTTTTACAAGGCAAGATTACGGAGTGATTTTGGGGTATTTTGCAATTTGTTCAAGAAAGCTCAGATTGTCCTGCAATATTGATTTGGTCAAAGTAAAGTACAGTGAACAATACAACGTTTTTAAAAACTTTTCAGTGGTTTACAACAACAAAATATACGATTATCGCGAATATCGATTAAGCCACGACAGTCTTGAAATGTGTGGTTCCAATGATTCAAGAGTTCAGGCGATTTGGAGAACGCGAAATTCGTGGCAAAAGTCATTACCCGCATCCTGTTATCGTTCTTATAAATTAAATGCAAGATACTACGCTGTGACAAAGCAGTTTGCTGTGTATTCGGCAGATAACGGTCAATATTTCAAAAGAAATGACTACGCGGTGATAGACGGTAAACCTTATGTATGCGGCAAAGAAAACTTAAGACAAATTTACGTAATTTCAAACTTTAAGATTATTATAGCACCATTATGTGCTTTAGTGCTTTCTATTATTTCTTTGCTATTGTTGTTGATAGTTTACTGCATGCTTCCAGAACTGCGCACACTTCCTGGTTTGAATTTAATTCACTGTACTCTCATGTAGGTAAACTGTTTGAGATACCGTGTGCTAGGCTGTTTGTAGCAAATAAGTTTATGACGTATAGTATAATTATGAATGCTGCGGTTAATATCTATCACTTAAGAAACACATTTTGTGGGAAAACTCTAGTGAAATCTGATGAACTGAAGAAGTGGAACAGATTTTTGAAGTATAGTTTCTTTAGCTGGGGAGTTCCTGTCATTATAACGATTATTTACATTGTACTGGTAAAGGAAGATGTTATAAGGTTCGATCAACCTATTGTGTCTGTGAAGAACGACGTTCAATCGAGCTTAAGATTCTATCGACGCATTGCAAATGGAAAGACGACGGTAAATAATATAGGGATTTATCACCGTATTGCATCCTTGAAGGGAGATGTCCTGCAGTCAAAGTTTAATCAAAGCATTCACACTGTATTTGAAGATGCCCAGTCAAGGTTTAGTCAAAGCACTGTACTTGGGAAGGGAGATATGACGGAAGATGATGCAATGATTTATCAACCTATTGTATCTTTGAAGGAAGATGTTCAGTCAAGCTTAAAGTTTTATGAACGCATTGTATTCGCGAATGGAGATGGAAAGGAAGATGATGCAAGGATTTATCAACAGATCTCCGGAGATTGTATCAATGGTCGAATTGCTCCCGATTGGTCAGCTGCTGTTGATGTATATGGCCTTCAAGGTTTTCTTTTGTTGTACATTATTGGAATGTTCATCTTCACTGCTTATCGAATTCGCCAAAAACTCAAAACAAGCAGGAACATTGCACAGAAATCGAATGTTGTTAAGCGTCGTAAATTTGTCATATTGCTCAAGCTGTCAACCACTACAGCCTTAAGTTATTGGTTTCCTTTCTTCATAAGTAGAATCGTGGATTTTGATTTCGACATAAAGATAGCGTTGTATACTGTAACGTTGCTTACTGGTGCCTACATTGGTATTGCGTTTGGCTTCACACGAAGAAATTATCAGTTGTTCAAGAAAAACTATTTCCCAGCAAACAATAAGCCGCCTCCAGTTGACGAAATTCCGCTGAATAGACTACACACGCAAAAATCTTACATCTTGTAGCAAGTCTGTCAACAAGCTGTCAACAAGTTGTCTTCGCACTGCTTGTCACAAGTCGTCAACAAGTTTGGAACAAGCTGTTAACAATTTGTAACACCCTTGTTGATATTATCAGACTTGTTACAAGGTTGTTCCAACAAGTCCGATACAGTCGTGATAACAATATTGTTACAACCTTGTGTCGTCAACCTTGTAACATTCTTGTTTATCATGACTGTATCAGACTTGGTAGAACAACCTTGCAACAAGTCTGATAATGCCATCAAGGCCGTTACAAATTGTTAACAACTTGTTCCAAACTCAGAGGCGTAGCCAGGATTTTCGGTCAGGGGGGCAGCAAAAGCCCAGGTGGGGCCAAGCCGCCAGTGACTCGAGACGCAAAGTTTGGGCAAGGCATTCTGTGCAGTGCTGGGTAAAATTAATTGTCGACACATGTGATTTTTCACCGAGCCCGCGTTAAAAATTCACTGGTAAAAACAACAGATTGGTTTAAACTTCATCTAACCCTCATTTAATACATATTGAAATAATTAGGGGTAGAAAAGGTATGTGTTTCAAGCTGCGTGCCGCAAATAAGCGAACACGATTTTAGGTTTCACACGGATGTGCAGCAAAGCATATATTCTACAGAATCTTTGCATTATTGACAGCATGAAGCTTATATAATCAAGGATTCCCTTTTTTATACCATACATTTTATCAGGGTGGCTCCAAAATGTTTCCAGGGGGCCAGGTCCCCCGGCCCCAGCCCTGGCTACGCTCTGTCCAAACTTGTTACAACAACTGGGAACAAGCAGTGCGAAGACAACTTGTTGACGGCTTGTGAACAGATTTGTAACAACTTGTGCGTTTCTACGTGTGTATAGGAGTATAGAAAGCGTAATCACGTGCACATGCACTTGCAAAAAAAATTAATACCTCGTATTTAATGTAAAAACGTTATATAGTAAAATGCTACTATTTAAAATGTATGTACACAATGTGTTTAAGATCGTTGTAGTATAATAAAGTAAATAAAACGCAAAACCTTGTGTGTGTTTTTCAGTAAGTTTCGTGTGGAGGATGGGATGGGCGAAAGTACCCTGACAGTCCCCAATTCACCCCTGGGAAATCTCAGCATGGAGTAATTTATATTTCTGTTACGCGGGTTAAAGTTGTTAGATTATGTAATTTATTGTTGTAAAAGAAACTAAAAGGTTCACAAAATATAGTTTTCCCGCTTGAAAACAACAACTACACCGATAATGGCGGATCTAAATAACGTTCAACGAACGTATAGTCACGTGTCCGATGTACTGTATATATTAACTGTATTACGGTACTTTATGCTAATTTATGCTAAATAATATCAACCATGTAAATATAGTTTAAACTTTAAACACTAAAAGTACTTATCTCAACACCCCCACTCAGACTCAGCTCGTCCTTAACTATGATGAGTCTGACGTGTTGTTGATGTTCTTAATTCCCTAAGAGTACTGTTCTGTGTTTTGCCACTTTCACTCGAGGTAATGATTTCGTCAGAATGTCCGCAGTCATTTCTTCGGTTGGAACATAATGTATCTTTATTTCTTTATTTTCTACCCTTTCTCGAATGAAGTGTAGCTTCGTGTCGATAAGTTTTGACCGTTTATGCATCACGGGATTGTGACACATCTTAATGCAGGATTGGTTGTCTTCTCCAATATCTGTCGCTTTCTCCATTGGGAAACCAAAATCCTTTAGTAGAGCTCGTAAGTAGATTGCTTCTTGTGCAGCAGCCGCCATGGCTTGATATTCCGCCTCCGCTGTTGATAAGGCAACGGTTGCTTGCTTCTTTACCTCCCAACTGATGGCACCTCCATTTCCTTCGAATTTGAAGTAGTATCCAGTTGTCGATTTGCGATCGTTGAGATCTCCACTACAATCTGCGTCCGAATCGCCAACAATATCACAGCTGGAATTCTTCAAGAATGTTAATCGTAAGTCGGTAGTTCCTTTGAGGTATCTCAGTACGCGCTTTGCTGCCTTCCAATGTGATTCGTCAGGTTTATCGAGAAATCGTGACAGCTGATTAACAATATTTAGAATATCTGGACGGGTTTATTTGCCAATGAATAAAAGAGAGCCAACTAAACTTCTATACAGCTTCGGATCTACTAATTTCTTTCCTTCGTTACTTTTGACTAGCTTTAGATTTACTTCTCCGGGTGTTGCTACAGCTTTGCAATCACTCATGTTAAATTCTTGGAGAACAGTTTCGATATACTTCATTTGATCCACTGTAATCTTGTCGTGCGATCGCAGGATTTGCATTCCTAAGAACCAGTTTAGGTCGCCACGATCGTCCATCTTGAAATTTTCATTTAACATTGATTTAATTTCGTTAATTGCTTCTTCGGTCGCTCCAGCCACTACTATATCATCTACCCAGACTAACACATAGGAAAATGTTCCATTTTCTTCCTTTCTTACAAATAGGCAATAGTCGTTGCAGCTTCGTTTGAATCCTTTCTTGAGAAGTAGACTTGTCAGAGCTTCATACCAGTTTTTCGCAGCTTGTTTTAGACCATAGATTGATTTGTTCAATTTGCACACAAGCTTTTGTCCTGAGTTTGCTTTCTTGACAAATCCCTCTGGCTGCTCCAGATAAATTTCTTCTTCTATTTTGGAATGAAGGTAGGCTGATTTCACGTCCATCTGACCAAGATATAAGTCCTTTCGTGCTGCAGTTGCTAATAGAATTCTAAAGGATTCTGGTTTGTATGTTGGAGCGTATGTGTCAAAGAAATCTATGCCTTCGATTTGAGCATAACCCTTTGCTACGTATCTTGCCTTGAGCTTATCGACTTGGCCGTTTGCTCGATACTTTACTTTATACACCCATTTTCCAGGTAAGACTTGTTGATCTTCTGGTTCATCGACTAATGTCCAGGTATTATTGTCCATTAGTGACTCGTACTCTGCTTGCATAGCTTTTCTCCAGTTTTCTGCATGCGGTGAACGAATTGCGTCATTATACGACTTGCGTTCTTGTATGTTTTCCTCTTTTGTTATGTTAAACGTGTAGGGTAATCCATATCGTTCCGGGGGGCGACGATTTCTGCTTTCTCTGGGGAGTGCGACTTCGTCTTCCTCAGGGTTTTCTTCGACTTGATGTGGATTTTGAACAACAGGTGTCTTATCATTTTCCCCCACTCTAGCTTGGACCGGTATCTTTGTGGCTTCGTCATTCGAGCGATCATCTTCAAAATCCATGTTTGGACTCACAAGGTTTGGGTTGTCTGGACTCATCGTTTCTCTGGCTGAGAATGACTGTATTTCGTTCTCTTTGAAGATGACATTACGTGCTTTGATGACCTTTTTCGAGTCGAATTCTTGCAAGATGTAGGCTGTGCTTTTGTCATTATAACCGATAAATTTGGCTTTCACCGATCTCGAATCCAGCTTCTTCATGTTGATCTTTCTTTTCATAACATATGCCGTGCAGCCAAAAACTCGTAGGTGGTTGCGCCTTGGTGGTTTTCCGGTAAAGAGTTCAAAAGGACTCTTTCCTTGGTTGCTATTGGCAGTTACTGTAAGATTTCGTATGTGAGCTGCTGCCGGTAGATAAGGCTCTTACCCAGTAGCACTTTGGTAACTTGGCTTGGATTAACACAGACCGTCCCATTTCAACTACAGTTCGATTGAAGCGTTCTGCAACTCCGTTCTGTTGTGGGGTTTCTGGAACAGTAAATTCTTGCTTTATTTTTGAGTCTCTGCAGTAATCCATGAATTGCTTCGATGTGTATTCAGCTCCATTGTCAGTTCTCAGTCTTTGAGGTATTCCATATTCAGCTACATACTCTTTAAATTTTTCAAAAGCTTGGGATTTCTTGCTCATAAACTTTACGATGGAATGTTTCGAGTATTCGTCGTTAAATATAATCGCATATCTGGATCCACTGAGGCTAGGTACTTCAAATGGACCGAGTATATCTGAGTAAACGAGTTCGCGAGCTTTCTGCGACTTGTTCTGCGTTTCTTTCGGTACAGGTTTACTAGATTGCTTTCCAAGTGCACACGTTTCGCATACTTCCTTCAAATTATCTTCACAGCCAATGGTGCGTTTGACGTCATCCTTGTTTAAGTGGTACATCTTTACTGGTACATCACCAATTCCTTCAACAGGAGTAAAATTTCCCTTTGGATCTTTAACATTTTTGATGCTGCAAGGTTGTAAGTTTTCAAACAGTTCCTTTTGGCTAATGATGTGATCAGTACAACCAGTATCGAAAATGAGATGGTTTGGTTTGCCAGTACCACTGCTTGTTTCAGTACCACTGTTCATACATTGAGAATATGATGCAAATGAGCTGGGTTCTTTTGTGGATTTATCAGGTTTACTTGAACCTCTGCATGCTTTTGGTAAATGTCCCTTTTTCTTGCACTTTGAGCAGTAAGCTGAACTTCTTTTACTACATTGCTTGGCGAAATGTCCAGGGTTTCCGCATACAAAACAATCTCCCTTCGGCTTGCTTGGACCTTTGTTTCTTCCTGACGTATTTCCAGAATACATAACTGTTGCACTATCTTCTTTTGTTTGATTTCTTTGTAGTCGACTATCATCATAATTTTGTAAACGTGTTCGTAATTCGGTGAAATTTGCTGCAGGATTAAAACTTTCCTGTACGATGAAGTGCTCATATTTCTCTGGAAGTCCGTTTATAACTAAGGCATTGAATAATGTTTCGGATATCTTTTCACCAGCTTCGGTTAATCGAGACATTAATTCTTGCGCTCATATAAAATATTTGGATAATTTTTCATTTTCATTTAACTGTAATCGAGAAATTTGACGAACTAGACTTACTACAGTAGTACAGTTGGCTTTTCCACGTTGGAATATCTCTGTTGTAGCAAACGCCACGCCTTTGCCCCGTCCCCAACACCATCTGATGACAGGCAATCATGTCTTATATATAAAAGACTATTATTGTCGAGGGCTAAAACAATATGACACTATACCGTATTATTTCTTTCTTTAATTTCTTCGATTTGTTTATTTCTTTGTTGAACTTTTGCCTCCCATTCGGCCTTCTGCTCGTCTGAAGCATCCCCTGCTAGCGGTGCTATCTCTTCTGGTGCGACTTCTTTCCCGAGAAGCGCTTTGTATAAACCTTTCGTTTGCATATACGCGGTGAACTTTGTGCTCCATGCTGGGTAGTTTTCAGCTTTTCCGTTAAAAACTAACCATTTTATCGTTTGGCTATCCATTACCACGATCCTGGGCCCATAACCTGTTAGATTATGTAATTTATTGTTGTAAAAGAAACTAAAAGGTTCACAAAATATGGTTTTCCCGCTTGAAAACAACAACTACACCGATCACAGGCGGCCCAATCTCTGAACGTCCTATATATTTTGAATATTTAACCGTTATTATATTTTAAAATAACAAAATAATTTAAAAAATATTAACAATATATGTAAAAAATATATCTCACTTGTTAATAGAATCCATTTGTCGTGTTTCTGAGTCTAGTTGATGCGATTGCTTTACGTTTTCGTCGTACTTGAACGGTCATCAGTACTATGGCACTGGACGACATGGCCGTATAGGACATAAATAACTACAAGGCTAGCCACTTATCTGATATACTCTCCGACATCGAGTCCAATATCTCGCCTCAGAATCGTCGCAGAGCAATAAATTTCACATCGTCTAATAGCACGAACGTTCCTCTTTCGAAAGAACTTGGTTTCTTCACCATTGCGGCAATTCCCGCGACACACGACGAACTTTATTTGTCAAAAGTTCAAATTTCCATTTTCGACAGACGCGCTAACCCCATGATCGTCGCCACGAGAGCTGCTCAGCAACCTGGCCTCCTCGTTTGAAAATATTCCATCAGGGGGGGAGGAGCTGGACTGGAATGAGGGGGCTTTCAAAGCAACACGATAAAACACACGATATAAATGTTTAATACTTGTTTATTGTCGAATACAGCATGATAAAGTAATAATTTCTATTTATATCGTGTGTTTTATCGTGTTGCTTTGAAAGCCCCCTCATTCCAGTCCAGCTCCTCCCCCCCTGATGGAATGTTTTCAAACGAGGAGGCCAGGTTGCTGAGCAGCTCTCGTGGCGACGATCATGGGGTTAGCGCGTCTGTCGAAAATGGAAATTTGAACTTTTGACAAACAAAGTTTGTCGTGTGTCGCAGGAATTGCCGCAATGGTGAAGAAACCAAGTTCTTTCGAAAGAGGAACGTTCGTGCTATTAGACGATGTGAAATTTATTGCTCTGCGACGATTCTGAGGCGAGATATTGGACTCGATGTCGGAGGGTATATCAGATAAGTGGCTAGCCTTGTAGTTATTTATGTCCTATACGGCCATGTCGTCCAGTGCCATAGTACTGACGACCGTTCAAGTACGACGAAAACGTAAAGCAATCGCATCAACTAAACTCAGAAACACAACAAATGGATTCTATTAACAAGTGAGATATATTTTTACATATATTGTTAATATTTTTTTAATTATTTTGTTATTTTAAAATATTATAACGGTTAAATATTCAAAATATATAGGACGTTCAGAGATTGGGCCGCCTGTGGGCAAAGTAAAGCAACAGCAGGGATGCGTTTGGGCACATTTGCAAGCTTTATAATGGCCTTAATGAGTTTTTAAGATCAAAGCTTTATAAATTCTTATTTATTGCTATTGCTTATCCAATATTTATTGCTATTAAATTGTTAATAATAGTGCATTAGTGCGTAATTTAGTGCAGAATTTGCTATAATGGATTCGAATTGATATTTTATTCTTTCTTTCATTGCCAGAAACCAACATTTCGGCCTACTAGGTTTTTTATGCAAATTGAACGCGGCAAATTCAAACATTCAACGGAATTTTACGGCAAATGACTCAAGAACAATCACACATTCTTTCGCAATTAAAGTACTTAAATAACTAATCAAAATAAAATATTCTTACCTGTGAGATCTGAATAACATTTTAAGACCTTTCCGATGCCTTTTCCGTCGTTTGGGATAGAAAAATTTGATAAATATATTGTATATGAACTGGAATTCAGTTAGCACTTTATAGCACAAAAAAATTTGAAACGACGCTATCCCGTGAACCTCTTTGCGGTCTGATACGTAAACTAGGCCCCAGGGCCCCAGGCAATGCGCGAACTATTCCTGCTTGCATGTCTGCATTTTCAATCAGTTATTTACTGTTAATTTTATCTATAATAAATTATCGGAAGGTCATGAAAATTCTCTGCAATTTTTAAATAAAACACGAGAAAAATTCAAACTTTAGAATGTAAATTAGAATGTATAGTATGGTATCAGGGGCGAGGGAATGTAGGTGAAAGATATCTTTCCTGCAGGAGGGGGCAAATAAAGCATTTTAATAAAAATAAAACACAATATTTTTCTCAAATGTACCTCAGGGATGGATCCAGCATGATCTAGGAGGGGGATTGGGGGGCACCCCAAAAACAACTTTCTTTTTCAGACCTTTTTTGAAGTTCCACAATCCCAGCATTCCGGGGCCCCCGAGCTGGGGGAATTTGGGACCCCTTTCTTGACTTTTCCTTGGGGGGCGTTACACCCCCACACCTCCGCTCCCCCAGTAAATCCATCCCTGATTTACGTTAACAAATTAATTAACAAAGATAAATACGATAGGGGAGAATTCTTATGTTTAATTAATCTTGTGCACAGCCGCAATTAATTCCGAGTTGCGAATTCTCTCCTAAGCATGCAAAAATACAGGGACCGCGGAACAGGGGGAGGCGGGGGTCATGCCCGTATAAAATCCAGCCTGCCTGCGTGAGCTATTGTCCGTGCTATCCTGCCTCTCCTCCCCCACACACACTTCAAAACAGGCTCCGCGGTCCCTGTAATACATATACAGATTATTCTAGAAAGAAGTATTATACAATTAAAATGAATCTATATACAAAATATGTTATATATGTCTTTAAACACAAGAATTGAATGCCATCCTATAGTTCTTGCAGTTAAATTTTAACAAATTTTAAATTTTCTTTTCGTTCAAGAAAATTTAAGAACTAATTTCTTATGTTAAGAATTTGATTTCTTGTTTTAAGAAACTATTTGAAAAAGAAATAAGAAATAAGTTTCTTTTAAGAAACTATAGTCTTATCTCACGGAACGAAAGCAATTAGTGTCCATCGGACGTGCAACTTCAGATCTCCTACCAGTACATACCGGTGTTCCACAAGGTTCATCACTTGGACCACTTCTCTTCATTTTATTCATCAACGACATACCACTTGTTAACAAAGAATGCAATTCCTACATCTATGTAGATGACACCACCTTGGTCAAGTCAGGGACATCCATCAACACCGTTAGATCACATCTACAAACTGGTGCTGACAACCTAAGTAACTGGGCCTCCGAGAATAGAATGGCCATCCATCCCAACAAGACTAAAGTCATGCTTATTGGATCACGACAAAAACTTTCAACCATCAACGAACCGCTCAATGTTTCTATCTGCGGAACCACCATCTCCCAAACAACCTGCGAAAAACTACTTGGTGTGCACATGGATGACTCACTCACATGGAACACCCATATTTCTCACGTTATCAAGAAATACAACAACACACTTGAACTTGTGAAACGAGCCAAACCTTACCTTACACCCAAGCTCCTCCTTCTCCTTTATAACAGCATAGCAAAGCCAACACTCGAGTACTGTTGTAGCGTTTGGGGTAATTGTAGTACAGACGCTCTTGGACGTGTAACATCTGCCCAAAAACGTGCCGCGAGGATTCTACTAAACGCTGATTACACTATCCCATCAATAACCTTATTCAAAGAAATCAACCTTATCCCAATTCATGACACCATTTGCCACCGGATCCTACTACAGACGTTCAAATGCATACATAACATCAGTCCACCATGCCTCAGCACCCTCATGGAAAAACCAACCCACCACCATTCAACAAGAGCTATTGCGAATAATAATGTCCACATCCCAAAAGCAAGATCTAACGCAGGAAAACGACAATTTTCATTTATAGCATCTACCTTATGGAACAATTTCCCTAACGAGGCAAAGAAAATAACATCGCAGCCGTCATTCAACACATATTGCAAGAGTTACTTTAGTCAGAAACTCGTGAGTTCAACTAAACTTAACAGCATAAGGCTTTATTAAGATATCTAAAAATATCATCAGTAATTGTTTAATATAAGTATATAGTCCAATAAGTATCAGTGACAGTGTATTCGCTGTTAAGAACATTTAGTGTTTGTTTGTTTGCATGTTTTCTCTTTTATTAAGACTATAAGTTGGTTGCTTTCTTGATGTACGAACTGCCGAAATTCATGCCTGCAGTTTTAGCTGAGCATGATCTACTTTCGGTTGTTCGTACATGGAGAAAGTGGCAAATACTGTCATGTTTATAATGTCACTTTAGACACTTGTGAGTTGTGTGTCAACGCGTATTTGACTTGTTATACTGTACTGTAAATATAATTTAGACATAGTTAGAAAATTGCCTAATTAGTAAATTGGGGCTTTCTCGAGGTATGAACAACTGAATTGTAGTACTGGTTAATACTTTCAATGTACCCATGATTTCATTTGTTCATACTCCTATAGGAAGTACTGAATATAGTCATGTTTAATGTTATTGTTGTTGTGTATATAGAGTTTAGGAGGACCAGATTGGAAAAAAGTTGTAACTTTATCTGTTTATCCTCAATAAATAAAGTGTTATTATTATTATTATTATTATTTCTTAAAGCAAGAAAATCATATTTTCTTAAGAAAATGATTGATAAGAAGATGAAAAAATCGTAAGAAAACATATTCTTGTTTTAAGAAAACAAATATAATTCTTATGTTAAGAATTTGATTTCCCCAATACGCAGCACGAAAATATTAAATTACCCCAATACGCAGCACGAAAATACCCCATTACCCCCTCTTAAAACAAGAAAATCTTATTTTCTTAAGAAAATGATTGATATGAAGATGAAAAAATCGTAGAAAAATACATTCTTGGTTTAAGAAAACAAATATAATCCAAGATATGTTAAATTTTTTTTTTCTTATTTCAAGAAAAAATATCTTGCCAATGAAATATTTCTTATTTTAAGAATCTTTTTCTTATTAAAAAAATCCGTTTCGCGTCTTAATAAGAAAATGATTTTTTGCTGTGTGAAGTTGATTGCATTTCCGGGGCTCTGGGAGATCTCAGATTTCAAATTTCC